ACAGCAAGTACAGAGTGAGAGGCAGGTGCACTCTGCAGGAAGAGAGACATTTGTAAGATTTTAAGATACCACTGATAATGTTTTACAGCCACCAAAACAAAATGAAATCCACGTAACAAACCTCAGCAAGCAGACCACTTGGCGATGACAAGCGATATCTCCCTAATTTAATGTCAGCTATCTTCGTCTCTGGGAAAAGCTTAACGGAGCAATTAAGACCTTCACATGATAACTCAGCAAGACATTCTTTCTCCCCATCATAAAGTTTTGAAGCACTACGCTTCATCTGTACCTCCAAGAAAGTGTGGAGAGCATCAGGTTTTGCATTGTTGATAATTGATTGCTCATCACCTTCTTTGTACCCTATGACTTTATTTAACCGTTCCCAATCTTCATCTGTGAATTGAATAGATTCTCCTTCACCTTCGGACACTTCACTCTTCCTGAAGGCATACATACAAGATAATTGAGAAGAAATTTTGGGAAAAAGAGTTGTGAACTGGAAAGAACCAGAGGAGCATTCACCCTCCGAATGGCCACCATGAACTTTTAGCCTGTTGCTTCTTCGAGTAATTTTCTGCCTGTACCGACCTCTCAACAAACTTGTGCGCCAACATCCTTTAAAGAAACTCAAGGAACTTAGTCAAAATTGAAAATGATTAAAATATTTATTCTTATTTTACATTATATGGAGCAGAACTCATGTACTATGATGACATATGGAAGTAAAACAGAGAAATGTCATGGAAGCAAACAGAGAAAGGAAAAAAAAGAACAGTCCTCATGAAATTTCATAGAATGACACAAGACCAAACCTTTGAAAAAACTAACTGATATTCTAGGATGCAACTAAAAATTACTATTATTTAAGCTTTACAGCTTACCTCCATTGCAAAATAACATCGGTATCAAGTTCCCGATCAAGGGCCTCGATTTCTTCATCATCATCAACAACTATCCTACTGATATCAGATTTCAGTAACGAAGCATACTGTGTGATGTATCTCTTGCGTAGACTAGTGTACTTTAAAACGTGCTCCCATGACATTCTCCCGCTGTCATAAAGGTAACAATGTCAGAAAATGTAAACAAAACCTAATGTAAGGAACTGCAAAGAAGATGTTTCCACAACCGATGCAAATTACGCAAAAAGCCGGCATCAATAAAAAAACATAGATAAAGGTTTACATTTAGATACCTTGCTATCTTAATTTGTTCTGAAACAACTCTGTAAGCATATTGCCACCACGATTTTGCGTCGATTTTAACTGGAACAGATGGACGGTAATGTGCATATTTCAAACGCTGATTAAATGCAGCAAAATTATCAGCAAGTTTCATGACATCCCTGTATCCTCCCTGAGTACAAAAAAAAAAGACACATAATCAAGACCACCGGGGACAGCCAAATAGAAAAAGAGTAGAAACCTTAAATGTATTGTTTTACCTTTGATAAACAAAGTGTCACATCGTCTAAGTTTACATATGCCTTCTGCAAAGGCTGAGCAGTATTTGAAGATTCATTTGGTTGAGACTTAGAGTACTTCGCATTCCCTGAGACAGGTTGCAGAATATAGAAATGCTTCCTCGTGAGGCAGTCAGCTGGCTTACCATCCTTTGTGCCAAATCTAAAAATCTAGATATTTGCATGCACCGAAAATTAGATGTTGGGTAAGAGACAATGGAAAATTCTGATTCCACTAAATATACATGACTTTCCTTGTCAATACCTGATCCCACTCAAAAGGAGTTAGAACCTCCCATGGTTTGTCAATATGCCACGGAGACATGTCAGAATCAAGATAGAATGCAAGCCGATCAAGTTCAACAGACTGCAAAAAAAGGCAAAAGCAAACAATTATAGCAAGAAACATAAATGTAAAGTACCCTTGCTTTTGTTTCTTGGCATGGGTATTCCTTTCCCAATGCAGTAAATCCAGAGAGCAGCCCAATTCAATTTTCCCGTGCTTCTTACTATAGCCACATAAACTTAACTTATTGAACTAGATTAAAATCATAAACTACCAAGCTACTACCTACAAGCAAGAAGAAGTGCAAGAGATCTTAACATAAAACCCTCATAAGAGAAACAAAACTAGGAAACTGAGGCATATGACCAGAAAAGCTTGTGCCATTCAGATATTGATGAACAAATATATACCTTTTGGATGGAGTCCAGAGTCCCGCCAGTAATAAAAGTTTCTTTTCCACTCTCATCAATGGTTACAGCTGAGAGTTTCTCTAGTGTAACACCAGCTGAGAACGGGTGGCCGGGATTGCTGCACTTATAACATAGGCTGTTAATCATACAAATGCGTAGACAATCAAGAACAAAGCTTCTGTTATAATCGAGTTACCTCTCTAGATCCTCATATCTTATGTGAATATTTGAAATTGACAGCTTCAAGTTTCCAACGATAGTGTTGATCACTGATCCCATCCATGATTTGTTCTTTGAAGAGAATAAGAAAATATGGTTAGTTTAGTACAATATATTTCCCTACGTTATCTACTAGGAGTGAGTAGCACTAGCCACACCATTTCTGTCTGTAGTCGACGAGCTCTTTCAACTAGTTTCGTTTCCATTTCCTGTTTACCACAAACAGAAATTTGATTCAATAACTCAAATAAGAGAAATGGAATATGGTCATAATATGAGCGACATATCTCACCCGTATTAGATTTCTTTTTGCTTCCTGGATAGAATCCTCACTACGTCCTTCAACATCAGTAGCAGGTTCGGCTAATACAAAAATTCGGTCAAGATAAACAACTACAGGTTCCTGTCCAAGTCTGGTCCATGGTACCTAAAATGATGATTTGGAAAAAAATCAATAAATGGGTCTAAGTGAGCGTATAAAACTATTGGAAGGTGAATTCAGTGAAGAGACTTAGGCCCAGGAAAATTAATGTTAAAAACAATAAATATTGTATGATATTGACTATTGAGTAAGATGACTGATAGAGACCACGAAAACAAGTGAAATACTATTCGTGAGCAAATGGAGTAGAAAAAAGAAAAGATAAGTAAGGCACTCAAGTATATATTGTTTAGGTTAGATGGGATAGATAAACAAAACACACAACACACCTTGAGTTTGACTGATCCAAGAAATCCAGCTTTAACCCTGACAGGTAATTTCAAAGCATTAAGGGCTTCTGGTTTAAGCTGCATATTTTTCAGCTCTACATCTCCTGCGAAATCAAGTAGAACCAAGAGCTATATTAGCAAATGAAAAAAACTAAAACCAAGAGATATAATAAATACTTAATTTATTCAGTCATCTGTTCTGAGTAGCAACTGTGAGAAGTAACTAAGCAATTATAAAGTGAAGAACCAGCACAAACCAAAATAAAGTTGTGCTACACATGAAATATAACTCGAACAGAACTCAATTCAATAAAGCGCAGTCAACCACAGCACACAAAACCTGACCAGTTGTCACATTCGATTATAATTCAAACTCGCTACTGAATATCACAACATTCGAACTTGAAACTCAAATCCAGACATTACAAAAATTCAGCGAGAAAATAGAAACAATCTAACCTTGCCAAACACTGATCTTAAGAGCTTCCTTACTCAATCCCCTCACATAGTTCCCCAAGTACCTTTGTAACAAATACGCTACCTGATCTTCCAACATCTTCGAACTCTGCAAATCAAAACTCTAACAGAAAAAGAGAAAAAAAAAAAAACATGTGCAAAATCAAGTAATCGTGAGAAGAGAATGAAATTCTCAGAGTTGGAATTCGATCGGAGTAGAAGCGGAATCGAAGGAGAAGCAAGAGGGTCGTTTCCTCAAGAACACGCAAGAGGCGGTTGGAATTGTGAAATAGTCATGACTCAATGACTTGGGGAGAGTTACGGGGCTCTGTTAAAGGAATATAAAATATCTGCTGTTGATGACGGTGCACTGCTGCTGTAATATCAATTGTCGACATAAATTTTAAAACAAAATTAGGGGTTGGTAACTGAACTAAACCGAAATTTAATTGAAATCTAACCAAGTTTCAAAAATAATTTAATCGCTGGAGAAATTCTTATACCATATAAACCAATTGGATAAATCGGATTTTCGCAACCTAATTTAGATAAATCTAACAAGCTGAGTTTTCTAACAAAAAATATTGTAAGAATATGAAATTAATTATTCATTCTATAATATTTTTAGCCAACCAAAATTAAATACGAATAGATGACCGCAATATTCAAAAAAAACCGTTGGACGGTAGCTAGGCGTTCGATAGGAATCTAGCGCCTAGATCGATCAACCGAGACCTAGGCATTAGCACATTATTTACTTATTTTAAAAATATTTTTCATGATTTTGTAACAAAATATTGGTAATAAAATATGAATGTTAAAAACGTACATATTCGAATTTATTATATATATTTACACATAATTTATATGAAAACTAAAATAGATTAGTATTAGAAACTAAAAACAATGAGAATAGTTAATTCATAATTTACAGGTTTAGTAATTAAGTGTTTATTTTCTTTTATTTACTTATTTTTTTTACTTATTCAAAACGATCTTATATTGAAAATTTTTTTTGCATTAAACCGGCTAATTTGACCGATTAATATCGATTATGAATGCCTAAACCGGTAAACCGACTTGGTTCACCGATTAATTAAAATCGGAGCGTATTGAAGTTCATAAGCGCCTAAGTGGGCGCCTAGTCACCGTCTACGCCGATTTTTTGAACATTGGGTGGTCCAGTTTAATCGAAGAGACGAATTATACGAAGTAGCTATAATAAGAAGACTTTTAAAATAGTTTAAATACTAATGTTGTAAATATATAGAATGAAATAATATCAACTAAATCAAATCATATTGTTTAATTAGAATAAAATTAACTTTTTGCACTTAGATGATCATTGGATGTCAAAAAAAAAAATTGTATGTTTTTGTTGTTAACCATTATATTTAATTTAATTTTAGATTTGTTTTAAACATTTTACCCTTAAAAGTCTATGTTTCTAGATATTTTTAAGCTTTACAGGTCGGTCAGTCTATCACTATCAGGCCACCTAGTGAGCTGGAGAAGAAAGGAACAGCAAACTCAAAGATGAACCAAAAAAAGTTCGAGACTTCTTGATGGCGCAATGACCACAAGGACCAGCGTTCGAATCTTCAAAAGGGAAATATAAAAATTGATTCTTGTTTTCTCGAGTATCTACCACCTCGAGATCTGAAAATCTGATTCTACCTTTTCGTTTTCATCCTCAAAAGTCGTGGCTTTGAGAATAGTTTTTTCCTCTTCTTCTCTCGGTTTTCTAGTTGACTCATTTTCAAGATCTGGGCATCTGTCATTTCTTTAATACTAAAAGCTTTCTTCTTTCTTTCCTTTTTTATTTATCCCTTTTGTTTTCTGCTGCTGCTTGCTCGTAGTAGGTATAATTTTGGGTGGCCTTACTTGCTTTTCAGCAAAAGCTGGGAGTTTGAGATTTCTTCTTCCCTCTCTCTCTCTCTCTCTCTCTCTCGTCTTTGGGATCTGCGCATTTCTCAGAGGTTATATGGGTCATGGGACTCTCGAAAGCATGATGCTTTTTGTTGTCTCACTTGTAATTTGTTAGGGATTTTGTTGCTGAAGACTAAGCAATGTCTGTAGAATCATGGTTCAGGATTCAGAAGACTACTACTACTAGCTCATGAGTTCATTGGTACTTGGAATCAAGATGATTGATCAGTTCATCAACTTTGTAATTCGACCTCCTAGGTACTTCTTTACCCTCTTTAGCTCTTTCAAGTCTCAACCTTTTTTGCATTTAATTGATAGCTGTTGGGGTTTTTTTTACAGGGCTGAGTATGATCCTGATCAGTATTTGTGGGAGAAGGAGTTTAGCCTCGGTGGCACAGAGTGTAAAAGACAAGACTTGGAGGCAAGTATGGGCACCTAATGATTTAGTATTTTCTTCAAATTGTGGTTGCTCTTGCGGTTAACCTTATAGGTCTCATATTTTTGTACTCTGGTAGCTTACAAATTCGAGGGGTCACACCTTGCGTTGCAGTCATTATGTTCCCTCATCTTCTCTGGAGGATACTCCTCTCCCCTGTGTTATATACTGTCATGGCAATAGGTATATAGAGACTTGCACATCTCTTTTAGGAACTAAGATCTTGATTATGACTAATTGAATAAGTAAGAACTTAATTCGTTTGTTTTGGAATCTGACCAGTGGATGTAGAGCAGACGCAAATGAGGCAGTTATGGTTCTTCTTCCATCTAACATTACTGTTTTCACCCTTGACTTCTCGGGGTCAGGCTTATCTGAGGGTGATTATGTAAGCCTTGGCTGGCATGAGGTGTGTTTCCGGGTCTTACTTTCACAAGCTTCTCGTCTCTTCAAATCTTTATCTAAATTTTCTCTTGTTAAACTTAAGCTAGAAGGATGATCTCAAGACTGTGGTATCTTACCTTAGAAACAGCGATCAAGTATCGCGTATTGGACTTTGGGGACGATCTATGGGTGCAGTTACCAGGTTACTTCTTGAGCTACTTCTCAGTCACAAAAAGTAGTACTAGTAGTTGTTTTGACTATAGATTCACCAGCTTTCTCAAGGTCTATGATCTGAAAAGTGTGTCAACTCTCCACATTCCTCGTCTTGTTCTCTTCATCATTTAATGAAGCGGGGGATAAAATGTGCAGCCTTCTTTATGGAGCAGAAGATCCTTCAATTGCTGGAATGGTCTTAGACAGTGCATTTTCAAACTTATTTGATCTGATGATGGAACTAGTGGATGTCTACAAAATCCGACTACCGAAATTCACAGTATGTTCTCCTTCTCTCTTTAACCCCAACTGGTATTATTGATAGCAATATACACCTGAAACTGGACACTAAGTTTATAAAACATGAAGCATGAAATTAATTTATCACTTCGGCTGTACAAGGATCAAGTTGATTGTGTTTCTGTTTGTGTAGTAACAATTGCTACTCATAGCTATTGGATTGAACCTGTTAATAAGAAAATTTAGGAAGGCTCATATTTTCACATGGCTACAAGAGTCCAAAATAGTTTCCTTGACCATTCCAATCTATGGTAGCATATTGTAGACATTTTCTTATGCTTGCAGTGAAACTTTGTCTCCTTTTTCAATTAGGTTAAAGTGGCTGTGCAGTACATGCGGCGTATAATTCAGAAAAAGGCGAAGTTTAATATTATGGATCTCAATTGTGTTAAGGTGTTGTATAAGCACCTCTCCCTAGTTTTTCTTGTCATTTGCTCCAAGTAAGGTAGTATGTTATCATTTTAGTGAAGTTTTCGATTTCCCCCCCCAGGTTTCACCCAAGACTTTTATTCCAGCTTTATTTGGGCATGCAAGCGAAGACAAATTCATCCAACCTCATCACTCTGACCTCATTCTGAAGTGCTATGCGGTACTTACATAATTGCGGTTTTTTTTGTCCAAGCATATCAATCCTTTTTCATTTTTATATACCAATTTTCTGGTAACTGTGCAGGGAGACAAAAATATCATCAAGTTTGATGGCGATCACAATTCTTCGCGGCCGCAATCTTTTTATGATTCAGTGTTAATATTCTTCTACAATGTTCTTCGCCCGCCTCCAATTTCTTCAGCTTGCTCATCTAAACTTGAAAGTTATTACAGTTTGGGAGATGTCAATAGCGCTACTGGTTTGGATGAGGTAATTTGCACTCCATGGTGGAGCAACCCTAAATTCCGGTTCTGTGATGCTGTCTGTTATATTTTCTGCATTTAAGTACTATAGAAAACAAAGACATTACTACCTAGACATACTGCTAGAGTCACTAAAGAGGTGGCTTGATGTATATGATGGTTGAGAACTCGTGGTGGTCATCTCATACAACAAAAATTATAAATTAGCTCCATCACAGTTAGCACGGTGAATCATGCACAAAAATCTAACTGCTTGGTTACTTTTTACTGCCAGAGTTTTCTGTATGAGATCATATCTGGTCTTCGTTCGGCATGTATCGATGTTGCAAGTTCTTCTTCTGCACCTCCTGCCCCTCTAACCACAAAGCCAACGACTGAGCTCCTTTCAGAAGCCATGCCCATGACAGATAAGGTATACCTGTTCTCTTTCTTGCATGAATTTCCTTTCTGTTGCTTGGTCTATCCCTTTTGATAATCTATCATTAATGAAACAGGATGACGTGCCTGTGGAAGATAATGATCACAACATGGACGACCCTGAAAACTTCGAGGTAACTGGAGCATGTCAGAAAACCATAATACATGGTGAAGTAGTAGGAGCTTTAACTATGTTTCCACACACCATTTCTGAAGCTTCTGTTAAAGACCCTAAGTGTTACCTTATGAGCCTTGGTCACAGTATGTATTTTGATTGTTATTTGGCAGGGGAGGCCTGTTGATCAGTTTGAAGATGGATGTTCATTTACAAGCTCCAACAGGGAAAGCTGGGGCAGATGCTCTTCACTAGGAGGCACTGAAGAAGATGAAAGTTTGACCGCTTGCGAGGGTGATCAGGTTGATGTTATTCGAATCTGTTTTATGAAACATTTTGATATTTGGTGAGATGGGGTTTCGTTTCTGATATATTACCTTCCAGGTCGAGAAAACTGCTGATATAAACACGGAACAAAAGCCAAGAGATTCTAGTAGAGAAGAAGAAGAAGATAGTAAGGAGAAGAAAATTAAGAATGGAGGTGAAACAGACGCCAAGAAGCCTAGACACGAAAAATTGGAAAGATTGGAGGCTTTTAGCAAAAGACTGCGGCATCGCATCCTAAAGCGAGTAAACCATAGAAGACACCGTTCACCTTGACGAAAGTTCAACAAATCGCTCTAATTGTTGTATATCTCTGCATTTCATTATGTACACTTCTCCTTCGACTTGGCAAATGGAATCACACGTAGCCATTACCACTTTTAACCTCAATCATATCCTTACTAGTTACTACTGTTTCAAATGCCATGCAAATGGGCTACATTTCTTAGATACGCAAAACACATCTTAAGTTTAGATATGTGAATAGACAAAAACCTGTATTGTCACCATAACACAGCCACTAAATCAAACTCCAAAACGAATTACAACAATATAAAGAAGCAAACACATTTTTCCCATCTCAGCCGCAGCACCCTCTTCTTTGCTTCGAGGAGATGGCATCATATCCATCAAATGGCCCTGGAGTTATTCCAGGCTCATTTGCCTCATCAACCACACCATCTTGAATCCTTTTGTATATTGTTGCGGCTGTCTCGATGAATGCCTATCCAAAAATTCAAAACACAAAACACATCGACATAATGATTTAGACTTTCTTTTAGTATATAGGAGTGGAACAAATAAGAAGCATACAAGCTCTTCTCTCTTAACATTTAATAAAGAAATAACTCCAAAAATCTACTTATTCACATTTTATGATGTCCCCAACTGCCAGAATCTAATTTTGGTATTCTACGTTAACTTTGCAACCAACATAATATCCTTCTCTTAGACTCGTAGCTGAACTGGTGGATATGCAAGCGAGATAAAGCATGCGAGTTAAAAGTGCGGTGTAGAGATCTCCGTTTAAGCCTAAACATTTGAATGAAAACATGGGGGCTTTTACCTCCTCGACATTGTGAGCAGTCTTGGCAGAGGCCTCCATGAATATAAGACCATGCTCCCTTGCAAACTGCTCTCCTTCCTCTGTACTCACTGCCCTTTTCTCTTCAAGATCACACTTATTCCCAATGAGCATTGTCGTCATATTTTCACTTGCATGCCGCCTTGCCTCTTCTAGCCAGCTGGCTAGATGGTTAAATGTCTCCCTCCTGCAAAAACGGAGATCAACAATAGTGTGAGTGTCTTCACTAAGACGATGACATTTTTAACATATACAAATCTAGTTCTAGTCCCTTATCGGAAAATAGAATAAGATCATGTCAACAAAGACAGCTTAAGTCAAGATCATGCTCAACACAAGATAATCAAATTGCTTTCACGATCAAGTGAACTCTTGATAACGAAAAATAGGAAAGAAGAAAGTGATTTTACCTTGTGATATCATAGACAAGCAATGTCCCGGCACGCCCTCTATAGTAAGACCTTGTAACAGACCTAAATGATTCTTGACCAGCCTGCCACAAATCACAGAGAAAGATTAGCCAACACTAAGGATAGGAGGTTCAAACTAGGCTGCTGAATATAATCCCATGAATTGTGGAAAATAAAGACATAGATCAATTTTAATGAAGTTTTAGTCAAGTCGGTGGTCAAAGAAAATCAGAGTATATAAGATCAACCAAACCAGGGTATTTCAAGAAAATAAGATAGATTTTGGACGTGTAAAAAGTCAAGTAAGTAGAAAGAGACCGTATCCCAGATCTGGAGTTTGATGGGTATGTTGTCGATAGTGATCTTCTTGGACCCAAATTCAACACCAATGGTGAGATCATGCACCGCTTGAAACCTCTTGTCGGTGAACTTAAGCAGAAGGCATGATTTCCCAACTCCTGAAACCAGATTCAAAACTCAATCAACATCACAAGCCCCTCGAGCCCTGAGGCCCCTGAATGTTTCTTGTCCACCAAGAAAGGTTTGATATGAAATAGATTCATATGATAAGGATTGAAAAAAAAAAAAAAAAAGCAGTACCAGTATCACCGATGAGGATATACTTAAATCTATATGCATAAGACATTGAAGTGGAAGATTTGATATCCTTTCTTCTCCCGATGAAGACGAGAAGAGAATCCCTTTGTTCTATAAAGACGGGTAAGGTCAAGAATCCGAAAAATGTCTTTAATTTTAACGTTTTTGAATCATACATATGAGAATAGCTTAAGTGTCTATATTAATAGAGCCTTAGAAACTTTCTAGATTGTGTCACTTAGAGATTTGGTGTCCCACCATTAGGATGTTTATACAATGATTGCAAATTTATGAGTCTGTTGTGAAGGATGATGATACGTGCCCTTTCTTTCTTGCAAAGCCATATGCTTTCTTTGTTTTAAACAAGACTCCCATATTTTCATAAATTTTAATGTATATTTAGATTTTTTAACATAAAAGTACCAATGTAACTTATTATCTATCCTTTATTTTTTGTAGTTAGCTAATTAACAAATTTATCAAAATTATTTATTATCACTTTAAAGTGTTTTATAATTTTAATCATAAAATAGATAAAGATCTAAAAGATGATTTTTTTTTTTTTTATGATTGGCAAAATATAGTTAAAAAATCTACATAAAAATGTGTTTTGCCTACAAATAGCTGGAGATTACCAAGAGCTTTCTCTCTCTTTTCTCTCTCTAATATCTTTCACAGAGAGAGAGAAAGCATCAAAACATGTTTTTGCCGTCCGGTATGAAATCCGGCTTTACGTCCGACATAATCCGGCTTATAAAGCGGTGTTTGGTCGGCTTTACATCTAGCCAAGGCCGGCCCAAACTATTTGAGTGCCTAAAGCAAAAATTTTTTTGGCTCATTAACAAAAGCTGTTATAAAAAAAAAAATACAAGTTTTAACATGTATGAGATTCAAAACCGTGACCTGTACAACAAAAGACTTCAATCTAACCACTAGACCATAATAACATTTTAAAAATTGATGCCCTTAAAACTACTTATAATTATTTGATGCTTCATGGGCTTTACCTATGGGCCGGCCCTGCATCTAGCATCGATCGGCTTTTCTAGCGACGATGGCTAGCTTTCGTTTACCTCCGGCGTTGTCCGGTTTATCTCGCTTATGGTACGACTATCCCGCTGTCGTGTTTTTGGTTTGTGTCCAACTTTGGATTCAGATGTAGACAAGGTGATTCTGGTGAAGTTTGGCATGAACATAAAACAGAGATGTCTAGAGAAGAAGATGAAGCAGAGTTTATGCGTTTATGTAGATCATGTCCACCTGATTTCTGTTTTCTTCAATTTAACGATGGAGATCTTCATCTATTTGGAAATCAGATGTAGATCCAGTGATATTTTGATGTCGATTTAAAGAAGAGACAAAAATATGGTGAATTTGAAGGTGTTGAGTTTTGCTTGGTGAAGCATGGCGGTTTACTGATCTCGTCTCAGTTTAAGTTTTCTTCACTAATTCAAGATGAACTCGAGAAGTTTAGACGAATTGGATATTTGGATTAGTTTCAGTCTCGGGTGAATTCTCTTCGATGTTGCTCATAGATGATCGGATACTTCTCCGACGTAGATTACCGGTGATCGGAATCTTTCTTCCCGAGCGACTCCAAAGAGTCATTGTTTGAGTGAAGGATATGCTTACACGTGGCTTCAATGGCGTCATCTTCAAAGGGTGATATAGTTTCTTTCCACGTGTTCATTTAATCATGCTTTCATCGTTTGACCATATCTATCTTCTGGGCCACTTGTGTATTTTAATAAGGCCTTTCTTTTGTTTACTTTGGGCCAACTGTCGTTTAGTTGGTTTGTTTTAGCCTTTTAGGGTCATAAGCTCTTAGCTAGTATTCGATCTTTGTCTTGCTCTGTGGTTAATTTTCTTTCAAGCTTTAGGATCTCAGTGGTTGAGGCTCTAGTAGAAGTTTCGGGTATGATTAGATTGCACTCATGGCTCCGCTGGGTCGCGCGTTAAGTGTAAATGTTCCTAGGACGGGGGTTAAGTGAGAGATTTAGTTTTGCCCTTTTTAGTATTTTATTTTTAGTTGAAATTTTTGCTGGGTTTCCTCTTTTCATGAGTTCCTTGTTAGTTAGATATGTTTCTTTTGAGCTTGCTAGGATCGTTTAAAAGCTTAGGTTCTTAGTTTGGTAAAACAAAAACAGATGGAATGCAGTGTTATGAAGGGTTGAAAATGGAGATATTGAGTTAATCTCTCTTGAGCACCACCACCAGTTGCTGAAATGTTTTCAAGACTATGGTTGGTTTTCATATGGCCCTTTCTCATCAGATCATCAAGCTGAAGCACTATTGATACCGTTTGTAGTGTTCCAACTGCTCTCTTATGTGGTTTGAGATTATTAAAAGTTTCACAATGCAAATCATAGAATATGTAATCGAGTAGAATGTGTGAGGCTAAACAAGTGTTTGGCATTCCATGTATGGTTCTTTTGAATGATAAATAAAGTTACACCTTGAGAAAAAAAAAAAAAATGTGTTTTGCCTCATTCCTCCGAATAGCTTGGCACTCCATATAAAATGGAACAAATGAAAAAGAAGTTTCTTTTGTTTGTGACTTGTGCTTTTTGCTCCTTTTCTCAATTTGCATGTCTTTCTGGTCCAAGATTATGATTGATCTGCTTGACCTCATTTTCCCCCTTCTTCAATTTCGTTGTCGTTTGTTCTGAGTCATACTCAAGGACGGTTGTTTTTCCAGCTAATATAGCGAAGCATCAACCTGTATTGTCACCCATTGCAAACTTGCTGGCGTTTCAGTATTCGGTAGGCGTATGATGTTTACTGGAAGGAAAGACAGCACGGGGAACAAAAGCCAATAGACTCTACTAAAGAAGAAGAAGAAAATTAAAAAATGAGGTAAAACAATTGCAAAGACAGCCTTTGGCAAAAGTCTACGACATTGCATCATTCAGTGAGTAAACCGCGGAAGACATGGGAAGGAGTAAACCATGGAAGGCATCGTTCATCTTCTCTGAGTCGGTTAATGGAACCACATGCAGCCGTTAACAATTTCTCGGTGAACACTGCACTTACCTTCATCATATGATTCATATCCTTACTACTGTTCCCAGTACCATGCAAATGACTACATTCCTACCTCTATCATATCCTTATATACGCAAAACACATCTTAATTTTAGATATATGAATAGAGATACACGTGTATTGTCAAACCGTTCCAAAACCCATCACAACACAGTCACCAAATCGAATTCCAAAACGATTTACAACTATAGAAAAGAAGCAGAGACATTTTTGCTATATCATATGTGATCATTTTTACATGATGATATAGACACCTTTCTCATCTCAGCCGCAGCACCCTCCTCCTTGCGAGGTAGATCCATCTCTTCCACCTGATGGTCCTGGAATTCCTCCATATCCAACTTTTATTCCATATGACTCATTTGACACATCAAACACACCATCTTGAATCTTCTTGTATATTGTTGCGGCTGTCTTAATGAATGCCTAGCAAAAATTCACAAAACACAACACCAGCCGAAATCTTGTTAAGTATTGGGTAATTGGCAAATATAACAACTTGGATCAAAATCTACTAGTTACTCTCTGCCTTCTCTGAATGTTATTCTGTATCCCACCGCCTAAATCTAATGGTATTCTAAGTTAAGGGGCATCTAATGGTATTCTAAGTTAAGGGGCACTAGAAAAAGCATGCGAGTTAAAAGTACGCTCTAGAGATCTACGTTTAACCCTAAGCAACCACATTGGAATGCATGGGGGTTTACCTCCTCAACATTCTGAGCAGTCTTGGCAGAGGCCTCCATGAATATAAGACCGTGCTCCTTTGCAAACTGCTCTCCTTCCTCTGTGCTCACAGCCCTTCTGTGAGCAAGATCACACTTATTCCCAATGAGCATTATCGTCATATTAGCATTTGCATGCTGCCTTGCATCTTCTAGCCAGCTAGCTAGATGGTTAAATGTCTCCCTCCTACAAAACCGAGATCGATATTGTGAGTGTCTTCACTGAACAACTTTGAAAAATACAACTGAAGTCATTATATCAAGATCAGGCACACAACTTCTAGTTACTATACAACACAAGAAAATGAAATCGCTTTCATGATCAAGTCAATTCTTGATAACAAAAAGAAAGAAGCAAATGCTTTACCTTGTGATATCATAGACAAGCAATGCCCCTGCAGCTCCTCTGTAGTAAGACCTTGTAATAGACCTAAATGATTCTTGACCAGCCTGCCATGCCATATCACAGAGAAAGATTAGCCAAGACAAATGATAGGAGTTTTCAAAATTTCTCTAAAGTCTAAGCCACTGACTATAATCCCATGAATTCTGGGGAAAAAAGATATGAATTCGTTGTGCATAGGCTATGAAATAGCCAAATAGTTGGCCAAAGAAAACAACAGTATACAAATCAATCCAGATATTTCATGAAAACGAGATAGAGAATAATCATGAAAATGGAAGAAGTAAAGAGAAAGAGACCGTATCCCAGATCTGAAGCTTGATAGGTTTGTTGTCGATGGTGATCATCCTAGCCCCAAATTCAACACCAATGGTAAGGTCATGCACCGGCTGAAACCTCTTGTCGGTGAACTGAAGCAGAAGACATGATTTCCCTACTCCTGAAATCAGAATCAATACACACAATCAATCACAAAGCCTCTCGAATCCCTAAATCCACCATAGATTCAGATCAGTTCAATTTTAGTAACGAAACATATATAGGTCCTGATCATCTCAATTATTGAAGAAAAAAAGAAGCAGAGGAAGTTTTACCAGTATCGCCGATGATGATATACTTGAAGAGATAAGCATAAGACATTGAATTTGAAGAATCGAAAGAAAATCCGCAGGTTCAGGCGAGAAAAAAACGAATCCCTTTCTTTATCCCGATGAAGACGATGACGAGAAGAGAATCTTTTTTTCTCTATAAAGACGGAGAAATGACGGTTTGTTTTCCAGCAAATCCAGCGATGCATCAACCTGTATTGTCGCCAATTTCAATCTCTCTGTCGTTTTTGTATCAAGTAATTGAACTGCGTGTCGGTTACTTCAAATAAACGACACGTAGTCTCTTTATAAAAATAAAGCTGCTATCTTTGTCGAGCACCGATCGAGAGAGAGAGCTCAGTGAAAAAGATGGGAAGCGGTGTAGGTGCAGTAGCTCTCTGTATCTTCTTCCTTCTTCTCGTACCCCATGAGGTGGAGTCAGCAATCGGTGTAAACTGGGGAACGCTGTCGTTTCACAAGATGAGACCTTCCACAGTAGTGGATTTACTCAAGGCAAACAAGATCACCAAAGTTAAGCTCTTCGATTCGAATCCAGATGCGCTTCGAGCTCTAATGGGTACTGGAATCCAAGTAATGGTCGGCATTCCTAACGAGATGCTCTCAACTCTCAATTCTGATTTGTTTGTCCAGCAAAATCTCTCTCGCTTCATCGACAAAAACGGTGCTGATATTAGGTACCTTTTCTCTCGAGTATCTGTGTCTTTAAGTTATGATTAAGCAGATGATTTACCAATTTCTCTGTTGAATAGGTATGTTGCAGTAGGGAATGAGCCGTTTCTGACGGGTTATGGTGGGCAGTTTCAGAACTATGTAGTCCCAGCTATGGTTAACCTGCAACAATCTTTGGTTAAAGCAAATCTAGCTAGCTATGTGAAGTTGGTGGTTCCTTGCAATGCAGATGCGTATGAGTCTAATGTTCCTTCTCAGGGGATGTTCCGGCCTGAGCTTACACAGATCATGACTCAGTTGGTTTCGTTTCTCAATACCAATGGCTCTCCTTTTGTGGTTAATATCTATCCTTTCCTTAGTCTCTATGGAAACTCGGATTTTCCGCAAGACTATGCTTTTTTTGAGGGAAGTAGTCATCCGGTTCCTGATGGGCCTAACACTTACTATAATGCATTTGATGGGAACTTTGACACTCTTGTTGCTGCTCTCACCAAGCTTGGATATGGTCAAATGCCTATAGTTATTGGTGAGATTGGTTGGCCAACGGATGGAGCTGTTGGTGCTAATCTCACGGCAGCCCGGGTTTTTAATCAAGGGCTCATTAGCCATGTGTTGAGCAACAAAGGAACACCACTCAGGCCTGGCTCCCCTCCTGCGGATGTTTATCTTTTCGGTTTGCTTGACGAAGGAGCCAAAAGCACACTGCCTGGTAACTTTGAGAGGCACTGGGGAATCTTCTCTTTCGATGGACAGGCCAAGTATCGTCTCAATTTAGGACTAGGCAACAGAGGACTCAAGAATGCGAAAAATGTGCAGTACCTTGCTTCCAGGTGGTGTGTGGCTCATCCATCAAAAGACATGACCCAAGTTGGAGACCACCTCAGGCTTGCTTGCAGTGAAGCAGATTGCACAACGCTCAACGACGGGGGCTCGTGCAGCCAGCTTGGTGAAAAGGATAATATCTCATACGCTTTCAACAGTTACTATCAGATGCAGATGCAACATGAAAAGAGCTGCGACTTTGATGGACTGGGCATGGTCACCTTCCTAGATCCTTCAGTTGGGGATTGTCGATTTCTTGTGGGCGTTACTGATAAAGGCTTATCGTCAAGTGCTGAACCAATGGCAAGGTGGTCTATCTACCACATTTGCATTGGAGTCTTGATCTGGAGATTCTGGACTCTCACAATATAAATAATCAGTGTTACATTTTTTGAGCGAGTAGATATAGGATGGAGAAATTACATAAATATAGAGGGTCTGATGTACTTTATTGTATTTAAAATCACTTTTCTTGAGCCTGTATGCTGAGAAGCAGAACCAGTATCATCTCTGTAATATCATCTTGGGGTCTATTTTAGGAAATCAGAACTTCAACTATAGTTACTTTGTTGTCAATGTAGTGTCTAAGATGAGACTCAAATCGGCTGTCAAACAGATTGGGATCATCACTATAGATTCACTTTCACTAATTTTCTCGTCTTTATCTATTTTAACTTCTTCAGTGCTTCATGGAGTCTATCTGTTACACCTCATGTCCTTCCAAATTTCTACTGCACCCTTATGTGACACAAAAGTTTTGCCACATTAACAAGTATCCACTTATCACAGATTGCACAATTTTTGTTGAAAATTTTAAAGAAACATTTTATTAGTCTTTATACTATAAAGCATCAACAAGAATCTCAAATTCAAATTTTTGGAAGTGAACAAAACGATCAAAGAGCAAAAGAGATCATGAAACAATACATAAATGTCAGAAGAATTAAACGGGGAGAGGCCAGAGTATGTCTCTACTTCTGCCTCTTGTAGATCTTAGCCAAGAAAGATTTTAGCACTGCTTGAATTGCTTTACTCTGGTGAGCTTCGATCAACTTTGTCAGCTTCTCATAGCTTTCCTTCTCATATTCCATGAACGCTCCCTATGGAAAAATCAAGATCAAACGCAAATTATATCACATCTCTCATGTTCTCTACTTTCATAACCAATAATTATGTTCTCTTTTTCTACTTGGCCTGACTAACGAAAGGTCTGAGTTAATGCTTAGTGCCAAACCTCGAGATCAAGCTCTTTGTAGAGAGCTTTCACCTTAGCAACGTTTGATGGTTCGGCTTTACCATAGTTCTCCTGATACAGTGAAAATTTGTTCAGTCTGACAAACATATTATTCCTGTTCAAACAGAATACAAATCTTATGCAGAAAATGATGCTTGTGCGGAAAGAAAGAAATTGATTCTCACGTATAATATCTTAGTTTGTTCTTCATTGCAGCGTTCCAATGCCTTAACCACCAACCAGGAGCATTTGAAATCTTCTATGTCTGTCCCTATCTGCATCATACAACACATGCACCGTAAGATAATTCCAAAATAATATATAATGAGCTTTCAAAATTCAATGTGTTGGCATAAACTTTCACCTTGCCAAGTGTCTCGGGATCAGCAAAACAATCCAGATAATCATCCTATGGAAAAGAAAAGATATCAACTTGCTAATATTGCTTTTGTGGATCCTGAAATGAGCCCATTATATGAACTCTTATGTATTAGTATCTAAATACCTGTACTTGAAAGTAAATTCCCATGTCAACAAGAACATTCTTCACATCAGTATGGTTTTCCAAATTTTCTCCAGCCATAAGCAATGCACAAGCAACCTGTATACAAGAATAAATTGAGGACTTCTTTTCACAACAGACTTAATATGTTGATTAGTCATAAAATGTATCAACGGAAACAACTAGCATTGTTAACAGATCATTGCACTACATCCCAATTTTCTCAGTAAAACAAAATGTATCTAGCTTACGAAAACTTTATGTTGCAGCCTCTGAACCTACGTGTGGCTCTATAGAGAGGGAGAGGGATTAAAAGAGAGAATTCAGAATACTCACAGGAAGATAAAATGAGTAATAAGCTGTTTTGTACTGGACAATACGCCGATGGCTGCACATTTTAGAAGACTATAATCATCAGTCAGAACACGTAATGCTATTTCACTGTATCATCCATAAGAAGAGATTATATTTCTCACATTTGCAAGGAGTACTTAGACAAATCTTTTTCTCCATCAAAGGTGGTGATCAAATCAATCATTTGGCCACAAGCTGTTTGAAACTCTACCTAGAACAATGCAAAGGAACATTGAACAAGCTGGTGATAACTGTAAATCGGAATATTAAGAGAAGGATTAAAGAGATAAACCTCATTAAACAAATCAACAAGGTCAACATAGTAAGGCATTTCCCTGAAATGCTTTTTGAGAATCCTGTGGATATGATTGCGAAGTAGAATCCCATCGTTAATGGCAATCATACCAACCTTTGGCTTTCTAAACCAACAAGGCTGGCCACGGCGTGTGACAGAGTTGTCCATGATGTCATCAAGCACAAGAAAATAAGCTTGAAGCTGCAAATGCAAGCAAATACAAAATGAGCATTGAGGTGAAAGATAAGAAGAGAAGTAAAAGAGGAATTACCCATTCAATGCACCACCCGAGAGCACACGAGAGGAAAGTCTCTTTCTCCGTCAAGTCTTGGCCTTGCTTCAAGAGCTTGTAGCTATCAACAACAGAGAGACCACGATTAAGCTTCCCTGCAAAACAGAACACACAAGTGTTTGATATGAGCTGATTAAGTTTGGATGTAATGTCTGAGTGAAGCTCCTCTCACCGCCGCGTACATTGTAGTCAAGCATCTGCAAAAAGAGGTTCCAATCAGCAGAAACAAAGGATCTGAGTTAAATTGAAAATGGAAGTGAATCGAAGGAGTACCCGTTCAAGCCATTGACGAGACTCGTGGGTGAATTCAAAGGAAGGATCTTGAAGCAGATCAGACTTGAGAATAGAGTAAACGTCGAGGAAGGTTGATTTCAGATCCGCCATTGATAAGATAAGTGTGTTCCTCGGATCATGCTTATATCGCGTCACGGGACTTTCTTTAAATGGGCCACCAAAAGCCAAAGAAGAATGTACAGTATGCCAGTATTATAACCTGCGTGAATGGGAAAGCCAGTATTATAACCTGCGTGAATGGGAAAACCATTTTTTGAACAACTCTAATTTGTTTTGCAGAGCTTCAAATGATGTAGGGGAGATTCTCACTAGGGTTCCGGTGACAACTTTGATTTCAGTACGGTGTACTTGCAAAAAGTGGAACGCTTTATCCAAAGAAGGAAGCAGTTCATGGGATTCATGATGATGGATTCTAGGGTTTGTTCAATGAATTTTGATCTCCAAGGAATCCATAACAACGAAGAAGACTTTGTTGATCCATGTATAAAGCAAATTGCTAAACTTGATCAAATCGAGATATCTAAAGTCCTTCAATGCGATGGTTTCTTGTTATGCGTCATTAAGGACAACTCGAGGCTTTTAGTGTGGAATCCTTATTTAGGGCAAACAAGGTTTATCAAACCAAGAAACAGTTTCCACAGACTCGACAGGTATGCTCTCGGATACGACAGTAACCACAACTACAAAATCTTGACTCTTTTGGATGATTACTACTTTGACCGAGAGCACCTTTTTGGTTACGACTTTAGCTCTGATTCTTGGAGGGTTTTGCTATTTATCATCTTAATAAGGAATTTGGCTTTAGCTTAAGAAAAAAAAAAAAAAACAACTCTAGTATAGTACTTTGTCCAAGAAAAAAAGCAAAGGTACCCTTAAAACGTTTTTGTTAGACTCTGTTCCATGTTAATGCAGTTCATGTATTTACTGTTGAAATGAGAAATATGAATAATCATCAATCTCTCAATAAGGATATATTGGTATGGACATTCTAGTAGTTCCCTAAACAACCTAAAGCATATTTATATCTGCTACAAGTCTTGCGGTTTCCATTTTCTTAGTTCAGCATCGACAATAGAATGTGCTTCCTCTGCAATCTCTGCTTTTCTCAACGCGCCATCAATCGCCGCTTTTAACTCCTCCATCTCTTTAATCTTTTCCTCCAACTTTCTCTCCCCTTCTATTCTGCTCTCATTGATCTCTTCGAGTTGAGCAGCAACCGTTTTCGCTTTAAACTGAACCATTCTCTCTGACTCTTCATGCTTTCCTCTCAACTCTTCGTACTCTTTCAATGATATTCTAATCTTCTTATCAGGCTCATCATGTGTTAGACTCTCTTTCTTCTCAGTAAGAACTTTCATGTCTTCCACAGCTCTTTTCTCCGCGGTTTTCGCTTTCTCCACCGCTCTTCCAACTATCTCGAGCTGTTTCACTGCTTCACCCATTACCATATGTGTTGCTGCTGCTTCTCTCCTGAGTTCATCCACGTGCATCCTCATCTCTTCCGCTTCTTTTCTTGTTTTCTCTGCTTCACTCATGATTTCGTCCACTTTCCGACTCGCTTCTACCCATTCTCCTTCTTCAACTTTTTGTCTCTCCTTCTCTTTTCCCTTCAATTCTCTGTTCTCTCTCTGCACTCCATCCAATTCCACAGTGAGTGAGCCCACCAAGCTTTTGTATGAGCTTTCTTCATCATAAATTTCTTGCATCGCACTCTTAGCCTCTTTGAGTTCACGAGCTAGTTTAATCTCCTCCTGTAACCTCTCGTTTTCCGCAGATATATCCGCTAGCTCCTCGATATCTTTCCTTAGCTCAGGGTCACAATCTTGCTTCACATCCTCCAGCCTTTTCTTAGCTTCTTGTTTCTTAGACACGTAAGTTTCTCTCGCGGCAATACTCTCTTCCTTTATCTTTTCCTCTTCCTCCTTTTTCCTAACAGCATCAGACTTCAGCCGCTCAGCAGCATCACGCATTTCCGCTATCTCATGTGACATGTCTTTGATCTTGTTGGAGTTAACCATAGACGCACACTCTGCTTCCTCTGCCCTTTGAAGTTCAGCTAGCCTTTCTTCCACGGAGAGGTTAAACTGTTGTTTCAATTCCGCGAGCTCGTTTTTCGCCATGAACAGCTCCGCGGTAATTAAAATGTAATCTTCTCTTGCGCTCTCTGTTTCTTGGTTTTCAGATTGAAGTTGTTCTAAACGTTGATTCATGGTGTGTTTGGTAGAGATAGCACATTTCCTGGAATGTTTGATGGATTCTAGTTTAACCCTTAAATCAGCGGCCTTTCGTTGAGCAGAGTCGAGATCAGAGAGAGCTTGTGCTTTAGCTGCGACAGAGCCATCAAGACACAGCTTGACTCTATCCATTTCTTGTTCGGCCAACAGAAGTTGCATCTCCTTATCGGACACATCCGTGGTGTCCTTAACGACGAAAGAAAGATATTTAGAGAGGGCGGAAAAATCACTGAATCATGTTTTTGTAGAATGAGAGGAAGGAGCCAAAGAGGAATGTATGTATATACCTGAGACTGAGAAGAGGAGGAGGAGAGATGCGGTGGTTGCTTCTTGGAAAAGCTAACTTGACGGAATAAACTAACGGCGTCTCTAACGGATTGGAAGGGAGCGCGCGTGTCAATCTCTCCCACCTCACTGCTCCTAGGAGGAGTCTCCGGAGGTATCACCGGAGCATCCGTTCGGATCTTCGCCATCAATCCTCTCAACACAAAATTTTACGTAATGAAGCAAAGAGAGAGAGAGAGATAGAGAGAGTTTGATGTTGATCCTTAGGATCTTTGTCTTCCAAATAATGAACAAGAGGGTCGCCATGTTTTGCGCTCATGTCTTTTGTCACTCTAAGGTCTTCCTTTATCCTATTCTTCCATTTTTAGACAACCCACTCTTCCTATTCTATTTTCAATTTTCATTGATAATATTCTTTTTTCGTTTCTTTCTTTTGTTGAACTCAAAACATCAAAATCTTGAATCCTAAAATAAGAATATCTGTATACATTCAAGTAATTAGATCATTTTCTTAACATATATTATATATAACAAAAAGTTAATCCAAGAGGGCGTTCTCCAAAATTGAAAAATCGGTGGTCATTGCATCGTTCGAATTAACTTACCCTATGAGGGTCGTTCGATACGTATCTTTTTCTATACAACATAACTGACGTTGGCAAACTATATAACCGGTTCTTAATTATTACGATAAACATAATGTTAACCAAGTGTTAATGGTCATATTGAGCGTTAATAGACATATTTTGCATGGATATGAACCTTTATACGTACAGTAAGTTGTGCAAACCAGAAGCTGAAAGTGGATCGAGTATTCAGGTTCATGATTCATCATCATTGTCCATCAATCATCTGAGATTGTTAAATAAGGTACTATGTAAGCAGCACACATTCACATGGTCCAAGTCCTCACTTGGTATGAAACCAAAAAGCAAAATAACTACTTAGCCTACATTCACATGGTCTAAGTTCTCACTTGGTATGAAACCAAAAAGCAAAATAACTACTTAGCCTGATATAATTCTTCTAAACTAAAGTTATACATAAAGATAAAAGATTTGTCTAGCTAATAAGTTAATACATGACGCTAAATGATTTGTCTAAATCTTGGTGACAATTTTACCCCGAACATATGAGATAGGAGAAGGAGAATCAAGAATGGAGTGGTAATTGTGGAATGGTTGAGACTTGATTGACAAGAAATGAATATGTATGTGTTGGGGTTTAGGGTTCAACTAAACCCCTTGCTATTCCACGTGGGTAATATATTTTTTATTTTTTTACTCTGTAACACTTTTGAGTTTTGAAAACGAATTTAAGAAACAAAACTTATTATTATAGTGTTTATTTATTTTTATTTTTTTGGTCTAAAATAGTGGTCCAAAATAACAATGACAATACTATGGGTGAATATGAAGTCACCTTATTTAAGTGTTGGATGTGTAAGTGTTTTGAAAAACAAAAAAAAACAATAATAGTTTCATATAAACTTTTTAAGTGCATTTAAAAATTAGATTATGCAATTAAAAAAACAAATTCTCAAAAAATATCAAATCTACATTTTTCAAATGAGATACAACATAGATATAGTCAAACTTTCAACATTTAGAATTATCTTCAATTGTTATGATTATAAAATTTTGACCTCTATAAGAAATATAATATATTACTAAACTCATGCAACGCGTGAGTCATTTTCTAGTGTTATAATACACAGGTAAAATTTAAGATAGTTAGAAAGTCACCGGCTGCGTAAATCCAAAAAGTTTGTTATTTCTTTTCGAGGAACGCCGGAATCTATGGCGGATTTTACAAACTTGCAAGAATTGAATATCGACGACGAGATCTCTTCGGTCATCAATTTTTTAAACAATCGATTCCTTACTCGCACCAAAGTAATGCAGAACTACAACTTCCACGTAATTCATCATTTGCTTTTTTCAGGAGACCAGGACGCTCGATAACATCTTAGGCCTTTGCCCAGGGATGAAGGCTTGTTTAATTATAATTTTGAGATATGCACGATAAATTAAAATATCATTTGTTTTTTCACGTTCTGACAATAGGTAATAGTTTTTGTGAATGATATGAATTTTGTGGAATTACAAAAAAGTCTTGTACCATTAGTTTTATGTGAGTTGGAGAATTAGTAAAATAGAGATGGCGAAAGAAAATGTTGTTATATTTGTTGGAGATGATTTCGAATATTGAAACAAACTAATCAATATTCATGGAAAGCTAATCTCGGTAGAAGAGAGAGTGCTTATTGAAATGCTACTAGAGTAGCAATGTGATCATTCAAATAGCACAAAATCATTTTGCAAAGAGTGACTATTTCGCATATTCTGATGGGTTTGTAAATCTATATTGTTTCAAAATAATTCATGTGCATCATTATCTAGTTTAGATTATTTAGAATGTAATTTATTTTTATTAAATGAATAGATACAATGAATTTTAAATTTTTTAGGGAGACAAAAATGTTTAGCTTGAAAGAGAGTAATTTTTTTACCAAATTCGGTGCAAATCCAGACCACATGATAAATGATTACGAAGTATAAGTCTTAGTTGAAATAT